TTTTCATTCATACAAATTTACTCAAAGGCAGTTTGAAAAACAGACCCTGACTAAAATTGTATATGAGTTATACAGGGAAAAAAATATGACACATTTGTGATTTGAAAAAAAGCTGAAGGGAAAAAAGTTAGGTATTTTTATTCATAAGAGCATTGCCATACAATTTTTAATGCACTAGAAAAATAAACTTCTTTCACTGACATTATGCTGAAAGAAGCTAGGAACAAAATGGTTATAAATTATCCTTGTCACAAATTCTAATCTATCATCATACTGTTATTTCTAAAATATATTAATACACCATCTAAAAACAGCCCTCTTATTAGAAGCTATGATACATAATAACAGTCAGAAGATAAATGCACCAATATTAATTTATTATAAATTTTTTAATTTCTCTGGATTATAGGGCAATGAAAGTGTGTAGGAGGTGCTTATTGGAGAGTAATCCTGTGGTCCTGAAGATAGAGAATGTGCTCAGCCATTTAGCACCCACTCATCTCCTTTCGTTTTCCCTTTCCTGGTAAATTTTCCTTTATGTTCATAAGGACAGATGCCATTGCTGTGGGAATCACTTTGGTTTAAGCCCCTTGAGAAAAACAGTAGCTAACTATATTAGTCTGTTTTCACATTGCTATAAAGAAACACCTAAGATTGGGTAATTTATAAAGAAAAGAGATTTAGTTGGCTCACAGTTCCACTGCCTGTACAGGAAGCATTATGATGGCACCTGCTCAGCTTCTGTGAAAGCCTCAGGAAACTTACAACCATGTTTGAAGGTGAAGGGGGAGCCAGTACTTCACATGGTTGCAGAAGGCGACAAAGAAAGGTGAGGGGGAGTTGCCATATTTTTGAAGGACAAGACCTCATGAGAACTCACTCACTATATAGCACCAATTGTGTGAAAGCAGGGATGGGGATGCGGGGGTTGGCAGTGGGGAGAGTGTTGCTAAACCATTCCTAAGAGCTCTGCCCCCATGATCCCATCACCTCCCACCAAGCCCCACCTCCAACACTGGGGATTACGGTTCCACATGAGATTTGGGTAGGAACACAGATCCAAACCACAGCACTAACATTATCTAAACACTGACCAACAGAATAAGCAAAATAATTTTTTTCCCCATTTATTTTATTGCATTTTAGGTTTTGGGGTACATGTGAAGAACATGCAAAATTGTTGCATAGGTACACACGTGGCAGCGTGATTTGCTGCCTTCCTCCCCATCACCTACATCTGGCATTTCTCCCCTTGCTATCTCTCCCCAGCTCCCCACCCCCCACCGTCCCTCCCCTATTTCCCCCCAACTGACCCCAGTGTGTAGTGCTCCCCTCCCTGTGTCCATGTGTTCTCATTGTTCAACACCCGCCTATGAGTGAGAACGTGTGGTGTTTGATCTTCTGCTCTTCTGTCAGTTTGCTGAGAATGATGGTTTCCAGGTTCATCCATGTCCCTACAAAGGACCCAAACTCATCGTTTTTGATGGCTGCATAATATTCCACGGTGTATATGTGCCACATTTTCCCTATCCAGTCTATCGTCGATGGGCATTTGGGTTGGTTCCAGGTCTTTGCTATTGTAAACAGTGCTGCAATGAACATTCGTGTGCACGTGTCCTTATAGTAGAACGATTTGTAATCCTTTGGATATATACCCAGTAATGGGATTGCTGGGTCAAATGGAATTTCTATTTCTAGGTCTTTGAGGAATCGCCACACTGTCTTCCACAATGGTTGAACTAATTTACACTCCCACCAACAGTGCAAAAGTGTTCCTATTTCTCCACATCCTCTCCAGCATCTGTTGTCTCCAGATTTTTTAATGATCGCCATTCTAATTGGCGTGAGATGGTATCTCAATGTTGTTTTGATTTGCATTTCTCTGATGACCAGTGATGATGAGCATTTTTTCATATGTTTGTTGGCCTCATGTATGTCTTCTTTTGTAAAGTGTCTGTTCATATCCTTTGCCCACTTTTGAATGGGCTTGTTAGTTTTTTTCTCGTAAATCTGTTTTAGTTCTTTGTAAATTCTGGATATCAGCCCTTTGTCAGATGGATAAACTGCAAAAATTTTTTCCCATTCTGTTGGTTGCCGATTCACTCTAATGGCTGTTTCTTTTGCTGTGCAGAAGCTGTGGAGTTTGATTAGGTCCCATTTGTCTATTTTGGCTTTTGTTGTCAATGCTTTTGGTGTTTTGATCATGAAGTCCTTGCTTACACCTATGTCCTGAATGGTTTTGCTTACATTTTCTTCTAGGGTTTTAATTAACTCCAGATGGATTAAAGACTTAAACATAAGACCTAACACCAGCAAAATCATTTTTATAGCTTCTCTCAAAACAACTTATGTATTAAAATGATGAAATGGATAAGAATTAGGCCGGGCACGGTGGCTCATGCCTGTAATCCCAGCACTTTGGGAGGCCGAGGCAGGCGGATCACAAGGTCAAGAGATCGAGACCATCCTGGTCAACATGGTGAAACCCCGTCTCTACTAAAAATACAAATAATTAGCTGGGCATGGTGGCATGTGCCTGTAATCCCAGCTACTCAGGAGGTTGAGGCAGGAGAATTGCCTGAACCCAGGAGGCGGAGGTTGCAGTGGGCCGAGATGGCACCATTGCACTCCAGCCTGGGTAACAAGAGCAAAATTCCGTCTCAAAAAAAAAAAAAAAAAAAAAAAAAAAAAAAAAAAAGAAAAGAAATGGACAAGAATTTCATCAAAATAAGAACCTCACTAGATCTGACCCATGGGGGAGGAGATTGTTCAATAAAAATTTCAAATGGATGAATGACTGAATCCTCCCCCTTTCAAGTTCTATGCTGCATACAACAAATCTACACCGGTTTCATTGAGATGGGTTTTAGAGACACCTTTCTTAAATATCTCTCATTTTACAAATGAATCTATCATCTAAATCATTCACTTGCCCACTTTCTGAAAACAACTCAATTATTTGTGATAACTTTCAAATGTCCTAATAATCTTATGGGAAATGTAAATATAATCAGAGGACAAATAATAATAAAGTAAGAGATGTTAGTGTCAGATTTTTACCCACTATATAAGCCCCCTCTTGTACTATGGGAGTGCCTTTCTTCTTTGGGTGAGACTTTGAAATCTGGGATTATAATTCTGAGAAAATAAATGTTTATAAAATTGTATCTGGCTATAAATTATCTCTTTTTTTCCAGTTCCCTGCAGTTGATATTATGAATTCCCATAATGATTCATGTCTTCTATTCACTTTAATAAACAGTAGTTGGGCAGCAATTCTAGAAAAGTTCCAATTCTCATCAGGAGAATGGACAAGATGGAGAAGTACAGACAATACAATGAATAGCATGTCTAATTCATCACTTTGTAATTGATTGAACATAAATTAAAATGGGAAAGATAAGTAAAAAAGAAAACAATGGGTGAGAAGGGTGTGTCTGGGAGAGGAGGGGCTCCATAACCATGAGATTCAACCCTTTAACACTCTATTCATATACTGAGGTAGCAGCAGGGAAACTTTTTATTTAATTGTTAAAAATATTGAACTTTGCTCCCCCAAAACATTTTTCTCATTCAGTTCCTGTTCTTTTTTATTTCTGTAATTTTTACTGTTTCAAAAATGATCTTTTTTCTTTCAGAAGAAGTAATTCTTCAAATCCAGTTCACATAAGGAGATTTGATATGTTCAACAAGCTCCAAATACACTGTATCTAGCAACATTTACTACATGCCTACTTTGAACTCTGAGCAACCTGCACCCGAAGCCTAGTTCTCATTGTTTTGCTTTTGACAAATTTTCACTAACTGACCTTCCTCCCCAAACACACGTATAAATCTACCAGACCCTAAAGCCCTTTATGAACATGCAAACTACTCCCTTCTGAAAACCTTTGCGTGAGTGGTCAGCAGGCTGATTCATCCATTGCAATGTGGCTTTATGCTAGGATTCTGTTTACTTGTTTCTTGCAAGATAACCACAGATGTGACTGCATCTTAGAGGTTCCTGAATCTTTGTTAACAGAGTCTGGTTCAAAGAATAGTTAAAAGATGTAGGTTGGGCGCGGTAGGTCATTCCTATAATCCCAGCACTTTGGGAGGCCGAGGCAGATGGATCCCCTGAGGTCGGGAGTTCGAGACCAGCCTGACCAACATGGAGAAACCCTGTCTCTACTAAAAACACAAACTTAGCTGGGCGTGGTGGTGCATGCCTGTAATCCCAGCTACCCGGGAGGTTGAGGCAAGAGAATCGCTTGAACTCGGGAAGCGGAAGTTTCAGTGAGTCATTGCACAAGAGCAAAACTCTGTCAAAAAAGAAAAGAGGAAAAGGTATAATTTAGGAAGTAAAAAAAATCAGATTTTCCCTCATCCTTCAGGGCCTGAAGGCACAAACTCTAACAGCAGGGCGCTTACCTACCCAACTCCGCAGGCACACCCTGTCTCCAGCAAGCTCACACCACTGAGGGCACTGGGATAGCAATGCGCTTGCAGGTCACCTGGCACTCTGGTACGTTGTGGCTCCTTACCTCTCTTTACAGCAGCAGCAGCAACGTTGACTGGAAGCTTATTAACTGTGTGTTACGGCCACGGGCCATGTGTGTTAGAATTTTACATGAAATTAACATTTAATACTCACAGGACACCTATGAAGCAGGTGCCACAGCTCCCATTTTGCAAAAGGGGCAGCTGAGGCTCCCAGAGGCTCAGCACCGTGGGGGGCAGCACACACGGCAAACACAGCAGAGGTGAGCCCAGACCTGCTTCTGTACCCCGCTCTCCTAACCACAAGGCTCCCCACCTCCCAGAAGGCGGTTGTCATCCCGGGGACGACCAGCCAGCTCTGAGGCAACAGCGTCCGGGCGCCTAGCAGGGTGGCCAGGAGGCCGTCCTCGTCCCAGCAGCGCGTCTCCGCCCTCGGCAGGGCCTGGGATGTGACTCCTACGGAGGGTTCCCTGCACCCTGGCCGGAGAGGCGGGCGGGGAGGGGCCGCGGGGCGCCAGGGCGGGGCTCGGGGCGGCCGCCCCAGGAGCCGGAGCCCGCAGCGGGAAGCGGCCGCCACCCGGGCCGCGCGGGGCAAGGCGAGGCGGGGCGGGGCCGGGCGTGACGGGAAGGGGAGGCCGCGCGGATCGGGAGCAGCACCGTGCCAGCTGGGCTGCATCGGCCGCTCACCGAGGCCGCGATGGGGCTGGAGACGGAGAAGGCGGACGTGCAGCTCTTCATGGACGACGACTCCTACAGCCACCACAGCGGCCTCGAGTACGCCGACCCCGAGAAGTTGGCGGACTCGAGCCAGGACCGGGATCCCCACCGGCTCAACTCGCATCTCAAGGTGATGCCCGGGGCGGGTGGGCCCAAGACCCCGCCGCGGCCAGGAGGTGCGGGCGCCCCTCAGCCCCACCCACCCTCGCCACCGGGTTGGTCCCGCGGGGTCTGAGACCCACACCCTTTCCCGGTCTCACCCGCCACCGGGCCGCCTGCGTAGCCAGGAATGCTTAGCCAGATTTCTGTGCACCCACTGTGACCCTAAGGGATGAGGGGACGCCCTCCTGCTTCCCCCGCCCAGAGCGCTCCCGGTTCCCGGGGCGGCAGGTGGGCTGACAGCTCGGGGTCCCTGCATCCTGTCTCCGCAGCTGGGCTTTGAGGATGTGATCGCAGAGCCGGTGACTACGCATTCCTTTGACAAAGTGTGGATCTGCAGCCATGCCCTCTTTGAAATCAGCAAATACGTAATGTACAAGTTCCTGACGGTGTTCCTGGCTATCCCCTTGGCCTTCCTTGCGGGAATTCTCTTTGCCACCCTCAGCTGCCTGCACATCTGGTGAGACGGGGCACACCGGGTGGGACCGGTTTTCTGAAACATGGGCATGTTCTTCTGCCACCTGCCCCCTGCCCCTGCACTCCCCTTCCCCCAGGCCGGCGGCAGGAGGAGGAACCCGCATCTAGTAGGAAGAACTAGAAGGCCTTGAAAGGCACTGCGCTTCCTTTAGAGTAACAGTTTGGGCTTGGAGTTTCAACAGGAGAAAGAATGTCGGCCTTTCCTGGTGTGTGATTTTCCTTACATACACAGGCTGGGGCTGAGTGAGGAGGCGGATACCTGGAACCCATGCTTCCTGCCACAGGCTGTTCTCAGGGCCCTGTTGTGACTCGTGCCTGCGGTTCTGGGCAGGGCTCTTCTTTCTTTCATTGCCTTTTATTTAGTCTCTACCTGTGCTTGGGGTAAAACAAGGGTGATCTCTGAGCAGAATGCCGCTGATAGCAGAATTGGACGGGGATGTCATACCTGGTTAAGCAGTGCTGTGGAGGGGCTGCTTCAACTTTGCCCCTGGTAGATGGCAAGGCTGGGACTCAGAGGAAGGGGAAATGTGTGCAGTTAAGGCGAGGATCCCCCAATACAAACAAATGAAAACTCCAGTTTCCGGTAATGAATGAGAAGTCCTCCAAACTACTTTTTCACTGATGAGACACAAATAGGAGTGGCATCTAGTTAAAGAGAAAAGAAATATGGAAGCCCACTGGATATCGATAGGATGTTTTGGGTAACTGTATTCACACTCAAAATATGTCCTAAACTGTAGAGAACATTCTTAAACATCTTTTGAAATTTTTTAAGGAAAATGTCATATTTTACCAATAAATGTTGTTGTTTTAGAAAATATCCACTTTGGCCGGGTGCAGTGGCTCACACCTGTAATCCCAGCACTTTGGGAGGCCAAAGTGGGCAGATCACGAGATCAGGAGTTTGAGACAAGTCTGGCCAACATAGTGAACCCCATCTCTACTAAAAATACAACAACAAGGCCGGGCGCGGTGGCTCAAGCCTGTAATCCCAGCACTTTGGGAGGCCGAGGCTGGTGGATCATGAGGTCAAGAGATCGAGACCATCCTGGTCAACATGGTGAAACCCCGTCTCTACTAAAAATACAAAAAATTAGCTGGGCATGGTGGCACGTGCCT